AGCTCTTATTAACCATATAAAGCTTACAATGCCATATTTGATACATGAATGATCAACTGGTCAGTGAATAATAAATAATGTTACGGTGTAGCTTAATGACGGGGGCTTTTCAACTTAGTGAGTTGTCCAATTTGTTCACAACGTTTCATTCATTTTCTTTTCAGCTTAATCCCTTTATTAATCAGGGGTTGCCACGGCAGAATGAACCGCCTGTTCACAACAATGCATGATATTTAAAAAACAGCATTTTATTAATGTATATGTACAAAATGATGCATGTGTACAACATCACAACATTTTGCTTCAGGCAATGAATATACAAACTCTGCCCACTTGGACCTCCCTGCCCCCCCAAAACTGAAAAAAGTTATAATGTGTTTATGTGTGTTTGTGTAGGTCTGTGAGCCAGCAAGCGCAGGAGTGTTTCCTCTACCAGCTTTTCCCCCCTTCTACATCTGCATGCCCGTCTCCAGGATCTGCTGTACCGTTATCTCCTCTGGCGTCTCCGTCTGCAGGTCTGCAGCGGGTGTCCAGTGTGCAGGCGCTGCTGGAGTCCTCATTCATACATGCCGGACTCAAGTTCACAGAGGTGACCTTCATCAGCATCTTAATCTGCATGAAAGTCTTTAAGTATTTTAATATTAAGGGCACCTGTGATGCTAAATCAACTTTTTTAAGCTGTTCGAATAGAAGTGTGTGTGGTATAGCAAATCCTCAGTCATATTAGAGTGACAGAAACACATCAAGTCTCTTTATTCAAATTTCCTGATGTTAAATAGGATACACCCCCCCCCCCCCCAGTGAATTTGAGGCCCATCACAATGTTAAATAGGGTACAATGTGTGGTTTTCCCCACCCACCGAATTGATTGACAGCGGCATATTAACTTAGCTGCTTAGTAACACATTTACACTTGTCCACAAAACCGGATTTTCAAAGAAACTGGGATTAAAGATCTGTTCAACACTCTGTGATCAGCTGCAGCTCAAGAATGTCTGCTGTTAAACACTAGTCTGGAGCACCCTCTATTGTTAAAACTATCCTATAGCGCCCTTTCCTGTTAACACTATCCTGGAGCACCGTCTGCTGTTAACACTATCCTAGAGCGCCCTCTCCTGTTAACACTATCCTAGAGCACCGTCTGCTGTTAACACTATCCTAGAGCGCCCTCTCCTGTTAACACTATCCTAGAGCGCCCTCTCCTGTTAACACTATCCTAGAGGACCATCTGCTGTTAACACTCTCCTAGAGCACCGTCCGCTGCCAAAACTATCCTAGAGCGCCCTCTCCTGTTAACACTGTCCTAGAGTACCATTTGCTGTTAAATCTAGCCTAGAGCGCCGTCTGCTGTTAACACTAGCCTAGAGCGACCTCTTCTGTTAACACTATCCTAGAGCACTGTCTGCTATCAAAACTATCCTAGAGCGCCATCTGCTGTTACAAACTAGCCAAGAGCGACGTCTGCTGTTAAACACTAGCCTAGAGCCCCATCTACTGTTAAAACTAGCCTAGAGCATCATTTGCTGTTAAACTAGCCTAGAGCACCATCTGCTGTTAAACACTAGCCTAGAGCGCTGTCTGCTGTTAAAAACCAAGCCTAGAGCGCCATCTACTGTTAACAATAGCCTAGAGCACCATCTGTCATTAACACCAGCCTAGAGCATCGTCTGCTGTTCAAACGAGCCTAGAGCGCCATCTACTGTTAACACTAGCCTGGAGCGCCATCTGCCGTTAACACTAGCCTAGAGCGCAATCTGCCATTAACACTAGCCTAGAGCGCTGTCTACTGTTAACTAACCTAGTGCACCATCTGCTGTTAACCCTAGCCTAGAGCGCCGTCTACTGTTAAAACTAGTCTAGACCGCTGTCTGCTGTTAAACACTAGCCTAGAGCGCCATTTACTGTAAACACTAGCCTAGAGCATCATCTGCTGTTAACCCTAGCCTAGAGCGCCATCTACTGTTAACACTAGCCTAGAGCTCCATCTGCCGTTAACTCTAGCCTAGAGCGCCGTCTGCTGTTAAAACTAGCCTAGAGCACCATCTGCTGTTCAACATTAGCCTAGAGCACCATCTGCTGTTAAACGCTAACCTAGTGCGCCATCTGCTTTTAACCCTAGCCTAGAGCCCCATCTACTGTTAACACTAGCTTAGAGTGCCGTCTGCTGTTAACACTAGCCTAGAACATTGGCTGCTGTTAAAACTAGCTTAGAGCGCCTGTGTTTCTCCTGTGTTCTCCAGGCTCCGTCCTGTTTGCCGCTCCTGATGCCGAGATTTGGCAAAGAGTTCAAGATGTTTGATGCCATTCTGCCCTCACTGACCCTCGACATCACAGACTTGCTGGACGAGAGTGAGCATATAGACTGTTTTATTTATGGTTTATTTTTCACCTTAATAACTGGATTGTGTCCTGCAGCTCTGCGTCAGTGCAGTATCTGCCAGTCAGTGGCGCAGTGGGAGTGTCTGCAGTGTTATGATGATGTGGACATCACACCTGGACAGATGAAGCAGTACTGCAACACCTGCAACACACAGGTACAACAACAACACACACACACACCCACGTTATTCCTAAGCTTTAATGATGTCTCTACTTTAAATCCTCTCCTCTACCCCTAAACACAACCCTCAAAGTAAACAATCTGCATTTTTACACTTTCAAAATACTATAAATGAACACACAAGAACAAGATTTACTGCTGTTGCTATACTTGTGGGGACATCATATTGTGATGAATAATAAGACCACACACACACACTGACTGCTCTGTCCTCCCTTAGGTGCACACTCATAAGCGGCGTCAGACACACACTCCGTCAGCGGTGCGTGGGCCCCAGGGCTCATGGGAAGGGCCGGTTCCGGGGGTCCGGCAGATCATGCACCTGTTCGCCGTCACCTGCATCGAGACCAGCCACTACGTCAGCTTCGTCAAACACGGCCCTGAACACTCTGACTGGCTTTTCTTCGACAGCATGGCCGACAGAGAGGGTGAGCACTCACTGTACACTACTGCTGAGTCCCAATTCTCACACGCACACTACATGTGTGTAACAGGGAGTGTGCAAGATTTGGAATAAACGACTTCCTCATTAACGGACCATTCTGTTGCTTAGTTACAAGCCCTGCAATTGAGTCATAAGGGGTGGGTGCATTGTGAAATGGGCAGTGGTCTAAGGTCAGAACCACGATGACCCAGTTGTCAGACACAGAAACTGACTCTTGGGACATGGATTGTCACATCACTGGGAAGGAAGGAGCCTGAGTTTGTGCAGGAGGTTGAACGCTACCAACTAGAGACTGTCCGTCTCACCTCCTTGCACAGTTTGGGCTATAGAACTCAGCTTCTTTAGAAGGGTTGGAGTTTCTTCTACTCTAGAGTTGTCTATGGCAAGAGGCGATGGGTTGGTTTGGGCTTTTAGTTGTCCAACTTACCATATGTTGAGAAGGGGCAGGGATAGGTCTCTCACTGTAGTTTGTGCCTACATGCAAAACAAACACCAGTGCAGAGTACCCAGCCTTTTTGGGAGTTTTTGGGAAGGGGTGCTCCAACTAGGGACTGTTTTTTCTACTGGGGGATCAAACTCCCACTTGTGTTATGACAGTGATACCTGGAGAGGTGTGATTGGAGGAACGGCATCCCTGATCTGAATTCGAGAGGTGTTCTGTTGTTGAACTTCTGTGTTAGTAACAGTTGTCCATAACAAGCACCATGTTTGAGCATAAGGGGTGTCCATGGCACCAGGACACACTAGGCCGGAGGTCAATGATCAACCTTGTGGTTATATCATCTGATCTCCGACCGTATGTCTCGGACACTCGGGTAAAGAGAGGGGCAGAGTTACCACCTGCTAGAGAGTTGGATCTGCTGTCAAATTTTCAACTTTCACCTCAGGGAGAACCATGACCAGATCTAGAGGTAGGCTGGAGACGTTGGGAGCAAGTGGTCTATGTTCTCTGACTCCATTGTTGACACAGCTGTGAGAAGCTGTGGCTGTACGGCCGGTGGTGCCAGTCATAGTGGCAATCCATGAACCTGGTGGTGGACACCGGAAGTAAGGGATGCTGTCAAGCTGAAGAAGGAATTCTACCAGGCTTGCTTGGACTCCAGAGGCAGCTGATGGGTACCAACAGGCCAAGTGTGCTGCAGCCTGGGCAGTTGTGGAAGTAAGAATTCAGGCCTAGGAAGAGTTCAGGGAGACTATGGAGGAAGACTGATGGTCGGCCTCCAAGAGATTCTCAGGAGGAGAAAGCAGTTCCACACAGACACTGTTTACAGCAGAAGAGTGGAGTTGTTGAACTGGTGATGCTCTCAGACAGTGAAAGGAAAACTGTGAGAATACTGGGGATGCAGGGGTTGACTCACTCATCACCCAAGCCTAACGCTGAGGTAGGTTGAAGCTCCACAGTGGCAAAGCAGTGGGGTGGAGAAGGTACACACTGTACCTCAAATCTCTGAATGTTGTGGTCCCATCTCTACTGGCACGTCTCTACAATATTGAATGAAGGTCAGGGACAGTACCTCTGGACTGGGCAACCCAGTGGGGTGATGGTTCCCATTTTAAGGAGTACTGGAGAGAGTGTTTAACTGTAGGGGGATCACACTCCTCAGACTCCCTGGACAAGTCTATGTCAGGGTACTGGAGAGGAGGATCGATGGTTGAATCTTAGAGACAGAAGGAACAGTGCAGTTTTCGTCCAGGTCATAGGTTTCAAACTCAATTTCTGGAGGGCCGCAGCTCTGCACTGTTTTGCTCTAACTTTAATCAAACACAGCTGATCCATCTAATGAAGGTGTTTTAGACTACTAGTGACAATTAAGCAGGTGTAAGTTGGAGGTTATTGGAGCTAAACTGTGCAGAGCTGTGGCCCTCCAGGAATTGAGTTTGAGATCAGTGATCCAGGTCATGGAACACTAGACCGGCTCTATTCTCTCATTAAGGTGCTAGAAGGCTCATGGAGTATTCTTAGTCCTGAGTTTTGTGGACCTGAAGGGGGCATTGGACCGTGTCCACCGTGGTGTTCTGTGGGGGCTCTGGGAGTATGGGGTCAAAGGCGCTCTGTAAAGGGCTGTTTGGTCCTTGTATCTACAGAGCAGGAGTTTGGTTCACATTACCGGCTATAAGTCAGACTTGTTCCCAGTGCATGTTGGACTCTGGCAGGGCTACCCTTTGTCACTGGATCTGTTGATTATTCTTATGGACAAAATTTCTAGGTGCAGCCTAAGGCCAGAGGGGGTCTGATTCAGCAGTAATGTGGTCCCAGTACCAGTTCGTTGTGGTAGAGAAGAAGCTGAGCCGACAAGCAAAGCTCACAGTTCAGCGGTCAATCTAAGCTCCTACCCTCATGACCGAAAGATAATAAGCAGCAGAAATGAGTTTCCTCTGTAGAGCGCATCCTTAGAGACAGGGCAGGTGCTCTGTCCCCCTGGAGGAACTCGAAGTAGATCTGCTGCTCCTCCACAAGCAGAGCAACAGCTTAGGGGATCGATCATGCCTCCTGGATGCCTACACAGGGAGGTGATCTGGACCTGGAGACCCAGGACACACTGGAGGGACTACTGTATGTCTGATAGCTTTGCTGGGAATGCCTCGGGACCCCTAGAATAGTGGCCGGAGAGGGAAGTTTGGGGTTCTCCTGAGACTGTTGCCCCCCCCCCAACCCTATCTTTGGCTATGTTTAATATTATTTTTGCATTATACAATATCTGGCGAGGCAGTGGCGCAGTAGGTAGTGCTGTCGCCTCACAGCAGGAAGGTCGCTGGTTCGAACCTCGGCTCAGTTGGCGTTTCTGTGTGAAGTTTGCATGTTCTCCCTGCCTCCGCGTGCTCCGACTTCCCCCACAGTCCAAAGACATGCGGTACAGGTGAATTGGGTAGGCCAAGGTGTACGAGTGTGTGTGTGAATGTTTCCCAGAGATGGGTTGGGCTAGAAGGGCATCCGCTGCGTAAAAACTTGCTGGATAAGTTGGCGGTTCATTCCGCTGTGGCGACACCAGATTAATAAAGAGACTAAGCCGACAAGAAAATGAATGAATGAATATACAATATCCAGTATATAAAGTCCGTCACTGTGTTGTTGTGCAGGAGGAGAGAACGGCTTCAACGTCCCGCAAGTGAGCTGGTGTCCGGAGCTGAGCGAGCTCTTCAGTCTGTCTGTGGATGAAGTGTGTCGTCTGGATGCGCTGCGGGGACCCGTCAGACGCCTGCTCTGTGACTCTTACATGTGTCTGTACCACTGCCCGCAGCTCACACTCTACAAATAACACACACACCTCTGCGACTCCTACTTGTGTCTGTATCACTGCGCACAACTCACACTCTACAAATAACACACTCCCACACACACACACCTGTATATTACACATCTAAATGTATGATTTTATTAAAGCACACATCGACTGTATCCTCCTGTGTGTGTTGTTGCTTTATTAGTTACTAATCATTTTAACTAACTAGTGACGAAAGCTTTCACCAGTTAAAGTTATTATATATAAACATAGATAACCTGCGCTTATATAGTATATAGGTGATGTTTGTGTGCATGTTTAATCTCGAAGACCTCGAAGTTTTTCTTGTTGTCTTCAAGGTTAGCATAGCTGCTGTAAGTAATGTATTTGAACGAGAAATAATTAATGTCAGTGCAAAAATGAAGTGCTTTAAACGAAGATAGGTGTCTTACGGGTGGTTTGTCAAGCCCACTCACCTACATGGAGGTTTCTGTCTTAAGGAGAATCAAAATAATTAAAATGATCAATAAACTACATTATTATCCAAAAGTGTCACTTACAAATGCTAATTTTCTGAATTTTTGTATGTAAAACAAGTCATTTTTATTATGCATATATAATATTATACACACACACACACACACACACACACACACATGTTATTTTAATTTATATTTAAATATTTTGAGTAATTGTTTTAATTGTTACTTTTTACTTAGTTTCAAGTTATTTAGGTGACCACCATTGGTTTTACTTTAAATAATGAAAGAGTACAAACAACTTTGTCCACGTCTGTGTATGTATATATGTGTACATAAATATTCACTCACTGGCCACTTTATTAGGTACACCCGTCCAGCTGCTTGTCAACACAAGTTTCTAATCAGCCAATCACAAGGCGGCAACTCAATGCAATTCGGCATGTAGACATGGTCAAGACAATCTGCTGCAGTTCAGAAGAAAGGGGATTTAAGAGACTTTGAACGTGGCATGGTTGTTGCTGCCAGACGGGCTGCTCTGAGTATTTCAGAAACTGCTGATCTACTGGGATTTTCACGCACAACCATCTCTAGGCTTTACAGAGAATGCTCCGACAAAGAGGAAATATCCAGTGAGCAGCAGTTCTGAGGGCAAAAATGCCTTGTTGATGAGGCCAGAGGAGAATGGCCAGACTGGTTCAGCTGATAGAAAGGCAACAGTAACTCAAATAAGCACTCGTTACAACCGAGCTCTGCAGAAGAGCATCTCTGAACACACAACACGGCCAACCTTGA